TAGAAGCCAGTCCTGTGTACTGGAGTACTATGAATTGTAATTATGGGTATTCAGACATGAATGCACTGAGTAGCCTGTAATGTTTAACGATAAACCACGATATTTGTGGTTTAGTCCCCTCTTATTTCTCAGATTACGTGATACATGAACATTTTGGCCATAGCCTGTGGTCTTAGGACTTCATTACATTCAGTTGTTGGATGTTGGAGTTTCCTTTTCTGCCTCGTCTTCATGGAATACGTTGCAGAAGGACTGACAGTAGTCAATTTTTATTTTTGTTATTTTATTGCTATTTTATTATTGCTGTAAGTTTAAAATATTTGTCTGAAACAGCCAAATCTCTCTTGTAAATGAGACACAGAGTCTCAGTGGGACTACCTATATAAGTAAAGGTTAAATAAAAAACTGCATCAAGTTTAATGTTTAACACCTCAAATGTACAGCTGTTTGTCACATTAAACATAAACCACAGCACAATTTCCTGCAGCACTACAGAGGGGTGAAGAAGCACTCTCCGCCAGCATTGTATCATTATCATTATTATCGTATTATTCATTTTATTTTTTTCTATTCTTTGTGGATTGTCACCCAGGTCTCTGACTCAGTCAAGAGGCTGTCAGTTGGTCAGAAGGTTTAACAAAGGCAGTTGATAACCACCATCATGATACCCATTATCTCTGACTACGATCTTAGGTGGAGTCTAGTCAGCTAGCACGCAGAAAGCCTGAAATACATTAAGTGCATACAACTTACTTCATAGTACACTCCTGTGATCTAGTAAGATATTTAATGTGGACCAATTATGCTTTTCCTTATTGCAACACATGACTAATGGTGGATATTAAAAGTGGTAAAAGTTTAAGACAATGAGGTCAGTGCGTGTGCAAGTCACCCCCTTCCTGATTTCTTAGTGTTTTGCATATTTCTCACCATTACATGTTTCAGAGTGAAATGTGAATGTAATATACAACTATTAAATGACGATTTCAGTTGTTAATTAAGAAAAGCTATCCAAACCTGACCCTGTGTGAAAAAGCAATGGCTGCCCTTGTTAAATCATGAACGAAATGTGGTTAAATGCAGTTTTTATAAATCTGGGTTATATTTCACCAGACAAGTTCATGTCAGACGACATTGAATTTGCTGACACTCTACTCTTTCCAGGCTGCTATCTGTTTTGAAGGCATTGCAAAACTATCTCTAAGGCCTTGGGACTCCAGCAAACCACAGTGAGAGCTACTGTGTACAAAAATACAGGTAACAGTGAAATTTCCCAGCAGTGGTCAGACCCAAATTATTCCAAGAGTAAACAGTGACTCATCCAAATGAAGAACCCAGAACCCAGGTGTTGAGATTGAACAATACAAAAGAGACTCGGCACAACTGACATCCAAGGAAGAGCTCCAGGACGTAAACCACTATTGGAACTCTTTGCATTACTGCTACATTCCCACGCTGTTAATCTCAATACTAACATCCTTATAGCAGTCCAATCATCTTCTTACCCGCCTTCTTTGAGCCAATCAGCTTCCACTCTGCAGAGTTTAAATCTCAATGGTCTGTTACTTACACTTTCAGAGTCTCATACGTGCAACCCACCTCCTCCCCATTTCCACCTTGCTGAGTCACTCAGAGCCATAATCTTCATTTTCACCACCATCAGCACTACGACTCCAGATGGGGTTTGTCTTAAATCCGATCACCATTGGGACCATAGTTCAGTCACCAGATACATCAATCCATTTCTCTATCTCAGTATATCATAGAGATCAGTTCTTCCGAACGATCTCTCCTTATTGAAATGGCAAATGTGTAAACTGCTGACTTATTTATAAACTGACAGAAGTTCAAGTAGCCAAGAAAACTGCAGCTTTAAGTACATTTTATATTTGTTTTTATTATTAAATTACATGTAAGAAAGCTGTTTAAATCTGTTGCTATAAAAAGTTGAGTCTTTTTTTACTATGTGTGGTCCATATCATTGAACTCTGTATTTGTAAGGTTGAACCTGAATTTGACTACGTCGGCGATTTTCAAGTTCCAGGCAGTTTTCATAAATATCTTCTTTCTGCTCCTGTTGCACAAAAACATGGGAAGAAAACCAAATTCAGATGTTTCGGCACCACTAAACATGTCCAGATGTTTAGTAATACCTAAAGTGGAAAAGGTAGTGGACCAGCTTGATCTTGCATAGAAACAGACTGGTTGCTTGTTGCTTCTCAACAGACAATATAAAAATTATTATATTTACCATTATTGAAGCGGGAGAACGAGAGCTATAAAAAGAGAGAGAGACATGTTGTTTTTAATCCTAGCAGTGTAATACATTTAGCATAAAACTGTTTAAAAGCAGTGACTGCAGGCAACTTACCGTGAACGTCGTTTGGAGACTTTTCTCTGAATGATCACAATAGTAATTAGAAAGATCAGGAAACATGTACAAGGTACAATAATGGCTATGGCAAGTGGGATTTTCGATTGATTTCCTGCTTCAGCATCCTCTGTAAAATACAAAAACGGACTTGTTTCACTGCAGTTCTAATGTTCAGTTAACTTTTTTCACTTCCATGTACAGTGTTTAACAAATCTATTAGACCACCTATCCTAAAAACTGTTAAAGACAAATATTTTAGAACTCTGTCAGAAACTCATTTTAAGATTATATTCTTATGAGCCTTTCTTTTGGATGTTTTTATGCCCATGTTTTAAGCCTATTACCCATTGCAGAAACATAAAAAATGATTCTGTTAGTGATGTGTTATAAACCCTACATTGGGTGATCTAATATATTTTTATGCACTGGAAGACCAGTATGAGTGTTCTAGTCTGTTTTAGACCTGCAGAAAGGAAGTTAGCACTGCTTACACATCCCCTGTGGTCTCTCTAAAGACCTCAGCCGCTCAAAACATGTTCCTATTCATAATTCTTCTTTGTGTCAAAGTCCGAAACATTTTACAGAAAATAAATTTTACCATAAACCAATCTAACCACAAAATGTCTAGAGTTGTAAGAAACACAAATATAAAGGCAATGCAAGTGAAGCCAGATGTCTTCGCCTCTTTTGTGTTTGAACACAGAGGCAACTTTCAGTGTCTGACTTTCCCCTAGAATAACATTTAAGCAGTGGTAGGGGAAACTCAACTTTCACCTACTCCACCCTAAAAGCTTCCAAACCACTGGCAGTCCCAACTTTTGTCTTTGATACAAAGAGAGAGAGAGAGAGAGAGAGAGAGAGAGAGAGAGAAGTTGATATGGAAAGTGTCGTTATTGCCCCCTTCTTCCTGTTTCCATAGCTTGACTACCCCCTCAGTC